GTTTGCGACGGATTAATCCGTCGCAAACCGTCGGTTGACCATGAATTAGTAGCAATATTGTAGCTAATAAAGAACATTTGCTGTAAGTTCACCCCCTTATTTTAGTCTTTTTTTCGCTACCGTATTGACTAATTCATAAATGAGAATTTCTAGAAAGTTATCAAAAAATCACCTGCTCAACTCGAATTGGAAAGTCATTGGGGTTTCGGAAATACTTGCTCCTGAAAGTGTTTTGATTAGTCATACGTGTATAATAATGTGAGCCGTGTTTAAAAATAATACAATGAAAGTAATATCCTAATACGTCAGAGCAGAGGACATAAGAAATTGATGAAAGCTTTATCCCATAATCCCAGAAGTTAAAAAAAGCAGCTTGGGTCTGCTAACCACAATAAAGTTTCCGCAGTACCCCCTCGGTCATCTTCGGCTGAGGGCACGAAATTCAAGGTGGCATTTGGTAGGGAAAAGTGGGTAGAGGGTAGCATTAGGGAGAAAAATGGGATATGGATGTAGTCACACAAATGGGATAACTACCTCTGTCATCACCTATGATCCCGCAAGTGATGGAAGAGCTTGGGTGAAACTAGGTTCCCAAGTGTTTAGAGGTACCTGAGCCACTTTTTTCCTGCGCAATGATGCTCAAGAAATTCGAACAATCCAAGAGCAGTTTTTTATTCCTGTCGATGGAAAAAATTATAAGGGATATAAATATTTGAAAAACTTTTACTATCTTGCTTGGTAGAGACAACCTTACTGTTAAATTTCAGAAATCTCTATTACTTGTAATTTTCAAAACAATGAAGCATTTCTCACCAGTCCACGACTTGATTATCAATGACGAGCAGCACTTTGGCATCTGGTGGCATCGCCGGTGGCCCACGACTCCGATCGTACTGCAGTGAACGTTCGAGAGCAGCTGCCAATGACTCAGAAGTCCTTGCCGGCGATGCAGGAGCACTGCAAAGGACGTTAAGTGACGGTGAATGTAGTTGAAAATTTTTCCTAAAACGAACTGGGGACGAAGGGGAATCAACGGGAAATCCCAGGTGTTTTCACCATATATGTACAGTGACTAGAGGATAAAAGCAGGTGTATAACTTAATGCATTCTACTGTTTGACTGCCTAGAATGGCTCAGGGTTATGAAGTCAGAGGGAAGGAGGCTTAATTCCTTCGTGATCTGATCTCCGATGCGTCTTTGCGACACGACGTCAAATGCCACTACTCCACATAAGCCAGCGTTGAAAAATTGTTCATAAAAAAGCCGCTGCTCGTGTAGAAAGAAAGCAAAAAATTGCGGTTAATGGAATAAAAGGAGAAAGGAGGGATCCGAACCAGCTTCTGCCTGAGATTCCATATGTGAAGCTTCCCATACATTGGGGAAATCTCTGTTTTCTAGCCTAGATTCATCTTACACCAATGGAAGGCTTTGTTAGAGGCTATTCCCTTGTTCCAGCTATGAATGGCACCGATTGACTTACCCTAAATAAAAAAGTGGTTTAGCGTAAAAGCCTAACTGCGGAGTGGGTCGGCACCTAAAACCACCGCTTTATTTCTGCCCATGACAAGCAGGACCTTCACTGCAATGAGGCTGAGGCTTTTCGGTTCCGTAAGATAGGATTAGTACGAGAAGGAAGGAGAATAAGCTTTGCTGTTCGGAGCAAACTACACCAATGGAAGTGAACAGGGCTGTCCAGATTAGTTACGGGATTCATCGCGGTGTTAGCCCTTGCACACCAGCTGGCGAGACAACTAGCTAATGCACCCAACTAGGTCATAGAGGGTGGGTGGCAAGACATCTTCCTAGAAGTTGAGGAGATGAAATAATGCCGTACACATCTAATATGGTGGTCATTCTAGTGAATTCTGGTGCCATAGAGAACCTAATATGAAGCAACAGTAAGCATCCAGGAGTAGTGATGATTGATATCGAGGGATACGTTGGAATAATTGATGATAGAAGCTCTAAGAAATAATTGCGTCTTGTAAAAGGTTTTGGTTTCGGTGCTATAAAGTGATACGTTTTTTTCCGAATTGGCGATGAGTGAGTGTTGTTCAAAGTGCCTCGCTATGACCGGCAGGTGTATTTGAGAGAGTCATTAAGTCGCTCCCGTACTACAGCTTTGAAAAGTGGGAAATCGACTACTCATAGAGACACACACTCATAGAAACCAATGCAGAGGCCCTGATTGAGCTTAATGAAGCCATGGACAGTAGCTGATCACCAATATTACTGATGTAAACGTAAATGGTGTTCAAGCCAGAGTTTTTTTCTGGTAAGGTTGCGATTTACTAGATTGACAGAATAGAAAAATGCCCTTCAAAATAAAGCGGTCCAGAT